TGTCCAAGCACTGGGCCTGCGACTGCATCTGTGCTCGCATCTGCGCTGCATCTGCTTCCCGGACTGCACCGCACCAGACCAGGGGCACGGGCGCCCCCTGTTCCGCTCTCGTTGTGGGCCTCCAGATAATACATGTAGATGCCTTGTCGACCCTGTTGTCTCTGTCTTCCGCGTCGGTGAGTCCAAGACTCGTCTGCATCCAGATGTCGCGCTGTGACACCCACGGCAAACTACTAGGTAATATGCAGGTATCTGGCGTGAGTGCAAGAGGTATAGGTACCCCGGCACCGAGTACCGCAGTAAGCATCTAGGTACCCAGATAGGTTCAAGTACTCGGTCCTCCGTCCTTGAGTACTCCGTACACACCAGATGCTTGACAGAGTTGGAGTCGAGATAACCTAGAACGAGGCACCAGCAAACTCTGCCTGCAATCGCGCTGCCGGCACCCAAGTACCTCCTTACCAAGATTGGCTCCGTCTTAAGTACTTAAGTACTTAGCCTGTGCTAGGAATGCCTGGCGCCACTAGGACTCGATGTCAGTGCTCCATCCTCCGTACTCCCTGGCTCGCCAATCCTCCGTGCTATCTTCTAGGTGCCTTCCAAGTTGCGGATCGCCATCAATCACGGACCCGTCAACTCGACCCAGCTGGTGCCAGTTGACCACTGGCGCACCCCCGGCTTGTCAACTGCCTGGCCCAGTTTGTGGGGTGTGGATTGAGCTCCTCGTGCTGCTACTCGTGCAGGTACTCGTGGCTAACAGCACTCGTGCCTCTTCTGCCTCTGGCACTGGTCAACTGGTGCTACGACTATCGCTCGGCTTTCCTCTGCTGCTGGAGTCTCTTCTTGCACCTCTATGGTATCGCCTACCCGGCCGTCCCTCTCCTCCTCATCTATTCATCGTCATCTGGTCAGCTGGCCCGACAGCACAGAGCCAGCGTCGATATATTTCCCTTATACAGCCCTCCGTCAGGGCCGTCGCCTCTTACCACTCCCAGTCCCGACGTCTTGCTGCACTACTACTACTGCTGCTGCTCTGTACCCATACAGCCATTGACCATGGAAGAGCGTCATCCCGATGCACCGTTCCATTCCTAATCGATTCCCGTCCATCTCCCGCACTGGTGCTCGCCATCTGGCCAGTCCTTCCATCTGAAGCCGAGCTGCTCGTAGCTCGAGCTGAACACCATCATGCATCAACAGGCAAGACCGCCGCCGAGGCCATCTGTGTCACCAGCGTCGTCACCGCAGATCAACCAAATCAACCAAATCAGCCAGACCCGACCCAACACCGCCAGAGATGCTGCGCAGATCAGTCGCCAACGCGCCGGCTCCAATGTCTCCGGAAGAGATGCCATGGCGTCCCCAGCTGTGGAAAACAACCCGGCCATGGGTCCTCCGGCCGATTCCATCAAGAAGCTGGATCAAATCGTCCAGGTATGTGCGATGCTATGTGCTACGTGCCGTACATACGACCATCAAGGCACCATCCCCTTGGGTCAGCCAGTCAGTCTTCAGTCACTAACAATCGCACCTAGAACTTCTTCAACAAAGCCGCCGTCCTCATTCTTGAGTCGAGAATGAAAGTCAAGCCCACTCGTAATGCAAACGGCCAGAGGAAAACGAATAAATGGGTATGTATCTTTGTTATTGATGAATTGGAATAAAGTCCGGGCCCCCGCTAATTGATTTTTTTTTGTTCAACAGTTCCAAATAGAGACGGACGAAATAGATGACTTCAGGGATGAACTCAAGACGTGGAAGACATGCGGGAGCTTAGATCACCGCCCGCCGCCATTGATAATCGAGATATTCCTCGACACTTCAAGTCTCAAAGAGAGTCAGAGCCTTGTCATTCTTGATGATGATGGCAAGCGCTGGGATGTAATGGAGCAGCTGAACTCGTCCGAATCATCCAGTGGCAGCTATCACACTGCTCCAACGTCAAGGAATGCAGAAGTCGTATTGGAACGATGGCGTATAGATCTAAAGACGACAGGAACCCTTCTCACCGATGACTTTGGCCCAATACTGCCCACCATCTACAAAAAAGCCATTGTCTTTTTCCGCTCACTTTTCATCACAACAAAGCTTCTCCCGGCTTGGAAGTTTGCAAGCCAAAGCCCGGCCAAGACATCGCATCCCGCCCTCACTCCTCGATGCCGAATCCGCACCTCAGAACCGGGCAAGTTAGCTACGGGTCTATTGAAGCACCCCATTGATGGTCGACGAGAGCCTGTAACCGAGTATGTGTTTGGCGACCTTGAGGTTCCGGTAGGGCGTCTCAGCACCGCTGTCACCTATCGAAACTACTGTGGCTTTCGGATTGATGATTCCGAGTCATTACTAAGTTCTCGTTTCATGGGGGCCGATGAAAACTTATTCAAGCCTTCAGTCACGCAGAGGACCGACCGAGCGCATGGCCGAGTCGCTGAGGTCGGTTCGCTACGTGATCATCGCCGTGGAACAGCACTGAGCGATCTTCACCAAACTTATGGAAGCTTGTCAACATTCCACGGTGACGGCCCATTGGGAACAAGTCCTTTATCAGCACTCAGATCCATCAAAGTTCCTGGCTCGGATACTAGCTCTCCACCGGCGTCCTTACCCAGGGGCGCTGGGACTGAAGTTGCCCCTAGCTCTTTGCCCATATCAGGCCGCATTTCAACCCCTCGGGCAATGGCCAGTCGACCCGGGGAGAGCTCAAGCAGGAGAACGTCCATATCCTTTCAACCTTTCAAAGCCGGATCACTTTCCGGATCGCCGGTTCCACGACAACCGGAGCCCGAATCTCCTTCGTCGGCACATTCACAGAGTCGCCCCGTGAATTTTCCCATAAGCTCACAACCTCGCAATAGGAGTTCATTGACGGCAGGGATGCCCGCCTCCCTCCGTGGTGGGCCACCCTCGACATCTGTTGAAACACCGACGGTTGGCTCGCCTAGGCCGGCGTCCACCGGCCGATACAGCAGCAGCTTTACACATAGACGAGGGCGTATGTCCATAGGTCGAGCTGGGGACGACGAACAAAACAGTAGCGGACGACAGAGCCTAGCGTCTTCCGTCGCTCAACCGGGATCTGGCTTACTGGCGGAAACAGGGGGCACCAGTTCTGGGTCATTGCATGCTGAGGAGGATGCCATCTCAGATTTCTTGAAGGCTCTGGATAGCCGTAAGACCCTCAAAAGCTTTGAGCCAACCAAACGAGGTGAATCGGCGACGAATCGAACGGTAGCCCAGCTATCCAAGTTCCACTTGATGAGGGACTCGAATAATGCTCTGACAGAGTCCATGACCTCGTCAATGCAAATGCAACGGTCGTCGAGCTCTTCAAGCCGACAATTGACAAGCGTTCCCGGCATGGTTGCTCCAGCCTCCATGTCTGCCTCGTCTTCTCCTGGAAAACCCGTGTCTCCCCATACCCCTCATACACCTGCTATTCCGTCTCGACTGAGTGAGAACTCGATCATTGATTACACTGCCACGGGAAGAATTACTTCGCGAGGGGGGCGGCGGCGGCAAGAGCCTGCTGTGCCAGAACCACGCAGAGAAAGCACTATTACGCAGGAGGGCACAACTGCCATCGATATACCATTGTCGCCTCGCCTAGGATCATACCAGAGGCGCTCAAGCTCAGCAGCCCAGCAGACCCGTGCGGTGATTGAAGATGACGACACGGAATTGGCATTTGCCGGCGGGAATCGTAGCATCAGCCTCGGGGCCGACGACAGAGAGCCTCCTACTCTGAGTATCTTGTTAGGTCGGCAGTTGCAAATGGAGGACGAGGCGACCGGTGGTGAAGGTATTACCGGCAGCCTACGACCGACTGCCGATGTTCAACCGTCAGACGCATCTGCACCCGATGCTATGCAACGTGGGTCTAATGAAGATAATTTGCCTGATGGGTTGATACCTTCGAGCGTTCAATCAGGATCGCTGTTCCCGCGACGTCGGTACGCCGGCATGGGGGCAGCTTCCAAAGCGACACCACCGCAGTCGTCACGGGGGAGCTTCACAGGGTCGCTCAGCCGATTGGCAAGAGCGGATGATGAGTCAGTGGGCGAAGAACCACTTGTATTTGATCTATCAGAGATGGACGCGCAAGGCAGACGAAGCCTAGAAGAAGGACGAGGCGGGGGCAACCCAAGCAACGAACGGGGTGCATTCGAGCCGAGGGGAACGACACGAAGAGGGTGGTAAAAACGGATATTGATCAACTGGATTTCGTCTATTATTTTTGCATCCGCATGAAAAAGAAACATATATCATTGTTGCGTTGGATATTCGCGCAGAAGAAGAACTGGCATTGGTGAATGGATTTCATCTGTTAAAAGCAGATGCTTTCGGGCGTGAGCACCTGTTGTGCCGTGGTTTTTTATTTTGGCGTCTTTGGATTCTGCTAGCATATATATTTATATATATCCCCGAATCGGTTTTGTGTCCGGAAACGGCATTTGAGGAAAGGGGCGATTTGAAAGGACTCAGGACAGAATGGACTATAATTGGAGTTTTTTTTTTTTTTTTGGATAAATGACGTACGGAGGGGAAGGCGCATATACGGATGAGTGGAAGTATGAGAATGGAAAAGAAAGTGTATAGGGACCAAGACGGCATTTTGGGTCGTGCGGCTTCAAGTATTAGCAATAGCGTGGATGAAATATTGGTTGGACATGAAGAACTAACATACAGACGAAGATGCCTACCATGGATAAGACATACGCAGCAGAAGTATGCGACGAAGACATAAAAGAGATGGGGTGCAAAATAATCTGGTCAAAGTATTCCGTATTTCGATCTTTGTCTGATCCAATCTGACACAATGACTACCTAGCTAGGCTATAACGATGCTATACTTGGGCTTGGTGCTTAGATTACGCGACGATAATAAGAGAAGTAGTAATCATATTGTATTGCGTGGCGCAAGATGTGTAGAAGTGTCAAGGATAACAAGATGAATGGGTAATGGGCATGAGACATGAGGCATACGGCATACGGCATACGGCATGTTGAGGCATGGTCATGCGAACCGGTCGCAGGCCTGTGGAGTGAGTGGCGCGTGGCAACCACGTAATGGCGACGGCATAACTTGGGGCTGGTTCATCCGGGAGACATGGACATGGAAGGTTCAAATGCTCGGGCTGAGTGAGTCCGAGAGCACTTGGGACTCGGGAGCTACCAGTGACCCGTCAGCGACCAACTGGACGAGCCACTTGGCTGACGTGCCTGCGAGTAAGCAGCTGATGTGTAGGAGCACCAACACTGCAGCTAACTGAGTGACGTCGTGCTAGCGCAGCAAGAGGCGTCGGGGGCGACTGCTGAAGTACCAGAGTACCTGGCACAGCGCTCCCGACTATCGCCTTGGATATATCAAAATATACTAGCGTCGATAGGGCACTTTGCCAAGAAGCTGTACACTGTACCCGTCAGGCCCGCCCCAGGCCCCATGGCTGCTGGCCTAAAGTCACACCAGGTATGCCGTCACAGCAGCTCAATGTTCAATGTTCTCTTCCGGCACCCGCCCGCTTCAACCTCTCCACCACCAGCAAGCAACTCCGACACCTACAGACCCTCCTCGAATAATCCATTCCTCGTGCTGCTTTACAACTGGTCGCATCCCTATAACAGACACCAGAAAATCAAGGTGCGAGGCGGCGCTGAGCTTCAGCAACCACCAAGCGGACAAGCCGACACCAGTCATTAGCTGCCTCGCAACGTCATCGCCTACCAGCCAGCGTCTCCCGCCATGTTTCGAGCACAAGCCGCCGGACCGTTTGATGATGTCGTCGGTACGCTTCACACGGGGTCCTTTGGCCTCAATAATCCTCCCCTGGGGACCATAGCTGACATGCATCTGCTTCGTAACTCAAAGCCAAGGCGACCGACGAGAACCTCACCTCCGAGGACTGGGGTGCCATCATCGAGGTGTGCGACAAAGTCGCCAGTGATTCCAACGGGTCCAAGGAGGCCGTCCAGAGCATGATTAAACGCCTTGCACACCGTAACGCGAACGTACAGCTATACACCCTGGAGGTATGATTTTCTGCACAATCACCACGCAACAGGAGACGACGCCGTCTCGTGGGTCGCGTTCGCAGCTGACCTGTCCCTGCACCACCCAACAGCTTGCCCACGCCCTATGCCAGAACTGCGGTAAACCCATGCACCGCGAAGTTTCTAGTCGAGCCTTTACCGACGCGCTTCTCAAGCTGGCGAATGACCGAAACACCCATTCCCAGGTCAAGGCCAAGATCCTCGAGAAGATGAAGGAGTGGGCCGACATGTTCAGCAGGGACCCCGAGCTAGGCATCATGAACGATGCCTACCATCGCCTCAAGCAGACCAACCCGACGTTACAAGCCCCCAGCGCCCCGCAGAAGCAGGGCCTCACCGACGCCGACAGGCAAAAGGAGGAGGATGAGCTCCAGATGGCTTTGAAGCTCAGCTTGCAGGAGGAGGAGCGAAAGAAGGCAACACCGCAGGCGGGGCCCAGTACGCAGAGCAGCGGTACCAGCCAGCAAGAATCCGCGCCCGTTCCGGCTGTTTCTGCTGGCACCACGGCTGCAACCGTAAGCAGAGTGCGAGCCTTGTACGACTTCGTGCCGTCCGAGGCTGGCGAGCTCGAGTTCAAGAAGGGAGATGTGATTGCAGTTCTGGAAAGTGTGTACAAGGATTGGTGGCGAGGCTCTCTCAAGGGAAACACAGGAATCTTCCCACTGAATTATGTGGAAAAATTGACGGACCCTACTCCCGATGAACTGCAGAGAGAAGCGCAGATGGAAGCTGAGGTGTTTGCTGAGATCAAGAATGTGGAAAAGCTGCTGACGTTGTTGAGCGCGTCGAATACGGCTCCCCGAGAGGAGGACAATGAAGAGATCTCGGTCAGTTTGCTCTGTCTACACGTGCCGCGTGTGTCCGTGGTGATTTGGTTGAAACATTATGTTAACCCGAACACAGAAACTATACCACCAGACTCTGGCTATCCGACCAAAGCTCATTAAGCTCATCGAAAAGTACTCACAGAAGAAGGGTAAGCACTCGTGCTTTCATCTCTTATCAAGGACGCATAGTTAACCATGATTTATAGATGATTTTACCCAGCTCAACGAGAAGTTCATCAAGGCACGAAGAGACTATGAAGCTCTGTTGGAGTCGTCCATGTCTCATCCTCCTCAACACAGCTACCAGCAGTACGCCATGCGTCCGGCCGCTCCAGGCCAAGGCTATCCTGGTGGCGGATACCCTCAGGGACAGCCGCCTCAGGATCCTTACTACAACCAAGCACCCCCATCCGGTATGCAACCTCGGACTTCCTCAACAGTAGCAATACCTTCAACTAACGTTCCCAGACCACCCTCACTATCAAGCCAGCTCTCCAGCTCCCAACAACTTCCAGTCGCAAGGCAATCCGGCTCCCTTCTACGTCGCCGGAGCAGAAGTGCCATCCCAGGCTCCCGGCGCCCAACCTCAACAACAGCAGCCTCAACAATACCCGCCAAGAGATGACACGCCCAGCCTTGGACCACCCTCCGGGAAGCAGCCGGCACCCGTCAACCCATCCTCACCTCCTCCGCAGTCCTTCACGCCCTACTCCCCGCAGCCTCCTCAGCAAAACGCCGCTCCTTACTCCCAAATGCCCAGCCAGCAACGACCACAAAGCACGTACGGCGCACAGGAACTCGCCACCTCGGTCTACGACTCCCCCATTGCACCGCACAACCCCAATCCCGCACCCTTCGGGCAACAGCCGTACCATTCCTACAACCCGCCCGAGCAGGCTCCTCCACCAGCACCGACGGGCCAAGCGCCGCCTCCGCCGAACTCCATGTCCCCCGCGCCGCTGCAGCCCGGTGGCGCTGCGGCGTACGATGCTCGTCACGGACTGCCTAGCCAGGCAGCACCGGAGACTCACCCCCCACAGCCGCAGTATAAGCCGTACGTGCCGCCTGGCGATGGACCGTCACCGAATGACTATTATAGGCAGGGGACTCCGTACTAGGTGTCTGTATGGGGAGAAGAAGGGGCCGGCTGGTGTAGCTAGTTAATGTGATATGATGTTGACTCTGTAATATCTTTTCATGTCAGATTTGAAAGTACCAAGTGTAGATTGTAGCTGCAAACGAAGTGGAGTTATCGACAGTCTATCGAAGAATCAGAGCTCGGGCGCCACGCCCGCCAATGCCATCCATTTCCTTTGTCAAAAAACCGCGCCTGTCCCGCCTCCCAGTGAAAGAAAACAATACGAATTACAGCCCGTCTACAGATACCAGACCACAAAGTTGTAGAGCCATCCAAGACAGATACCAGGTCGTAAAAGCGTGTAAAAACCTAGAGAGCCCTCCCCGCGTAGTCTTATCATAATCATCATACAGACATCAAACAATGCCCCTGGAAATCACCACCTCCTCCCAAACACGGCACTCTCCTCCCTGACAGGCTTCCGCCCCAACAGGCCTCTGCCTGCACGCTCGCCGGTAGCCTTCCTCCTGTCGTCCAATGGCCCTGGCTGCACGTCCTGATGGTGCCCGCCAGGCTTGAACAAGTCAATAATCTCATTGATACCCAGCTTCATGGCCTCCTTCTTGGCGCCGCCCTCGATCGTCTGTTCCGCCAACTCACGCTTTTTATTCTGCAGGTCAATAATTCGCTCCTCAACGGTATCAGCCACGGTGAGTTTGTACACAACCACATCAACGGTTTGTGTGAGGCGGTGGACGCGGTCGATTGCTTGCTCCTCAACGAACTGGGTGCCAAATGTCAGCTTCTTTCCCGTCACAGGAGAAGGCATATAGTCTTTTCCGACATTCCTGGGGTATCGTATTGGCCAAAAAGAAAAAAACCTACCGGATTCCAGAATGGTTCAACAATAATAACACGCGTAGCGGCCGTCAAGTTCAACCCTAGGCTGCCGCACTTCAAACTGCACAGTAGAACTCTCGTGCTCTGGTCTTCGCGTAGTCGGCGGAGACTCTCTTCGCGATCATCATTCTTCATGCTGCCGTCGTAGCGCGCGTATTCGAAGCCGTCTTTGTCAAGAAATGGTTCGACAAGATCCAGCATGGATGTGAATTGGGAAAAGACGATGAATTTGTGTTCCTCGGCTTCGGCGTGAAGAATCTTGGTCACCTCGCGGATTTTGGCTGATGCGAGGACTTGCGTTTGCTTGCCGGAGCGGAGCCACCCGCCATTATCTTCATCGTCTTCAGAGGAGTATGGTTCTGACTCTGATACATCAGATTCGGAATCGTCATCCTCTTCAGAAGTAGATCCAGCATTCGATGTAGAAGCCCCGGGCTTTGGTTTCTTGTCCTCTAGCGTTTGTGAAGCCATTGCTTGTGTTAGAGCATCCACGGATAGGAGTGAGTCGTCCTGAGCGGCTTCGTCAACGGACTGATAACCATCCTCCTTCTTGGCCGTCTCATCATCAACAACAAAGCTACTCAGATTGCTTTGATCCTTATCGTCTGCATCATCCTCTGAATCTTCTGTTCCAATCCAGTCACCACCACCCTCTGCATTTTCATCTTCTTCGCCTCCGGCCTTGCCCAAATGCACGTTGCCGCGCTCGCCTTCAGGTACAAGCCAACTTCCGTCACCTTCTTCTTCATCATCACTGTCTATGATGGCATTTCTGTTTCGTGGCCTGCGGGTTCGGAGTTTTGGTTGCTCTTCTTCATCGCCCTTGGCCTTGGCCGCCTTCTTTCCTTTTGACTTCTTGCTCCTCTTTCTTGTCGATCTCTTTGGCTTCTTCGTGTGTAGCTCCTCATTGTTCTTGAAATACTCCAAATCATCATGGCATTCGGCACAATTCTCCCGACCCAGCGTAGTATCATCCAAAGTCAGTTCCCTGCCACATATTGAGCACGTCTTCGTCACAATACCCATGCCCGCGAACATATCTACAACAGCATTCAGGTCGATATCCTGCGACTTTTGACTAGAACCGGTAGAAAGGGCGTCCTTATCCTTTTCCAGCTTACCCTCCACCAGTTTGGGGTGATTGCAGGCTTGACGAAGCCGCAGTAGGAGGGTAAAGGCGTTTGCGTAGCTGAGTTTGTTTTGCATCATCATCTCCATGCTTTTATCCGCACGAGCCTCGAGCCGGTCATAGAATTTTCGCTCAGCAGGAGGCAGCTTAGCAGAGACAGTGACCACTTTACGCTCCGTGTGTTTGAAACCCGTTGTCGAAGCCTCGCCAGCAGCGCTTGGTTTGCCACCAGGGTTCAAAGCACCTTCTTTCTTCAAAATCTCCTTGGTGCGTCTCTTCATGAAACAGCGCAGAAGACTGTGTAGTCGGCGAATGGCAATGTGACCTTTGCCATTCTTCATGGGCTGGTCGATGTGCTCCCTCCACTGCTTTAGGTCGTCGTAAGGACTAATACGGAGGAATTTGATCAATGACTGGAGCTCATCCAGATTGTTCTGCATTGGAGTTCCGGACAGACACCAGCGATATTCTGAACGCAATGCACAACATGCCTTGGTAGCCTTGGCATTGCGATTCTTGATGCTATGAGCCTCGTCCAGAATGACTCGCCACCACCGTAGTCCAAAGCAGCCCGCTTTCACACCATTTTCGGCATCCGACGAGGCGCCGTGCTCTGAAACCAGGATCTGGAAAGTGGTGACGACGACGTCGTACAAAGCCAGCTGTTTGAAGTCCTTTGTTCTCTGAGGCCCATGGTGAACCAGAACCTTGAGACCGTGGGATTTCTCAACCTTGTCCTTGATTTCGTGCTCCCATTGCCGAATGAGGGCGAGAGGGGCGACGACCAGTGTCGTTTTTTCGAGGCCCTCAAAATGTTTCTTCCATCCAGTGCTGTCCTTTTGAGGCTTTTGGTTAGTGATGATGAGTGACACACTCTGCAGTGTCTTTCCCAGTCCCATATCGTCGGCAAGAAGCCCGCCTTTGGGCACCTTACCACGCTTCACGGGACCAAGCTCACGGCCTCTCATCCACTCCACACCCTCGACTTGATGGGGCAATAGCTTCACCTTGAGGCCGTTGACCGTACCATCCTTGCCGATAGGACTTCCTTTTTTGGCCTTTTGTGTTGGAGACGGTATTCCTTCACCTTGGGTTTGATGTTGGCTTTGGGAGCCTTTTGGCTGTGGTTGCGACGGCTGTGAGGCCGCAGCATCTTCTGGTTCTTCTTCGTCGTCGTCCTCCATTCCACCTTCCAATAGAGCTTTGAGATCTTCGTTCGCCTTCTTCGGATCGGTGTAGAATACTTCGTCAGAATAGGTAGCCCTCGACTTTGACGGGCCGTTGGACTCGAAGATGGGCATCGCAGGAGGCTTGCGATCTTGATATACTGGTGGTCTGGGACCAGACATCTTGGTGCCTCCAAGGTGATGCTCCGGACGGCTCTTTTGGTGGATGAAAACGTCCGCCTTCTGCTTACGAGACGATACCATTTTCGTAGGATGACCAAATGTAGGGTGGCCGGTACTGGCGTTCCTTGCAAGGCTTAACGGATCCATGCCCTGCGTATGCTGGGACTTGACAGACCCGAATCCGCGGTGTAGTTGATCAAAAACTGCATCGAAGTCGTCTGGAGACTGTTCTCTCTTGGTATGAGAAGGTTGGCCCTCCTTGGGAGGCTGTCGTTCGTTGACCATGGCGCCTATATCTCGAAGCGCCGGATCTGATTCGAAACTGTCTTTGCTTGCAGACGCTCTGGCAGCACTGGTTTGTGCTGGAGGCCCGGAGGAGGAGTTGGGGAAGTCGGGCTTTCCCCAGGAGGCAATGTTGTTCCTGGGTTTAAATGCAAAACTTGCGCCCGGTTTCTGGCGGTCATTGGCAGTCATCGGAGCGTCGTGTGTGAAGTTGGGCACCAGTAACGAGCATTTGCAGGGTTCGTTGTTCACAGCTGCAATGTTTCTTCGGTGTTGGGCGACAAAGTGCCCGTCAACACGCCATGACATAATTGCCCCGGCAACGTTGTACTTGCCTTGTACCCGCTTTGTACCGCCTTCACCCTCCCCGCCCTGCACCAGCAGACACATATGCGCGGAGATACTGTGGCCGACACCAAAAAAGACTTTGGTTCTCCGTGCAATCCGGCGCGTTGCCCACTGTGCTACGGAGTACTGATTCGAGGGATCTGGAGTCTGGGCCCTGTATAGTGTACAGCATATCACACCGGTTGACTTGCTTACCCATGTTGAATGCCAAGGCTGCGTGCGCGACTTGCATATTTTCGTGCTACGTGTATGTCATTTTCGAACCGAAATCAACATATCTAGCAATATAGCTGGGCGTCGATCCTGTGACTAGATGCATGAAGCCTACCTAGTACTTTGGTTGTGGTACCGTAACATGAAGTGAGGCGGCAGACACCAAGTAGGACAGACTGAGGGCTTCCAGAGCAATTGGGGCCATGATTTACCCTCTGGGATTCCAAACCGACCTAGTAGCTCCGACCATTCCCTAATGGAGGGCTGAAACGGTTGGTCACTGTCTCAAACATGGCGTCGCGGCTGTCCATTGTCTCACGCGTAGCCGGCAATACACTTGCAGAGCCCGTATACATCATTTGATAGGCCCGTCAAGTCAACTTGTCGAGGGGTTCTGATTTCTCCCAGGACGAGGCCACCAAGAACATTTGAGAAACATGTCAATGTACTACATCATTTACAACCACACAAGGCGCGTACATAGCATAGATTGGTTGATTATATTGAGACTTGCTTATATGGCTGGTCCAAGCGGCTGCAGCCGGAAAAATTGAGAAGATTGTTCGTCTAAGCCAACCAAGCATCTTGATCAAGTATCTCGCTCCGTATGCATCCTGGCCCCTCAAATCCGCACTTCATAACAAGCCGGCTCCCCGCCTAACAATAACATCATGTCAACGACGAGGGGTCCTCTCATATCGGTCCTCGAAAAGATTTAACCGTAAACCAGCTTGAAGATGTCGTTATAGACGTAGTACTGGCCGCTGGTGTCGCGGCTAAGCTGGAAGGACTGGGTGTAGTTCATGGGGCGCTGCTCCTCATCGACCTGTTACGTGTGTTAATCATAACCATCGAAATGTGCTCTTGGCCCCTCGGTGTGGTTGTTTCATACCAGGAGCTGTCCAGTGACAAGAATGATGATGCCTCCATCACTGTTGGAGGGCTGGGCATCGAGGGTCGAAACCTGGTGCTTGACTTTTTGGAAGGGAAGACCCTGAGTCATTGGTTAGCGCTAATATCCTGTTTGATATCGGAGAGCTGAGGACTGTCGCATACGGCAAGCTTCTCGACGATGCTGTTGGCTCCGAGGGAAGAGGCTGACTCAAAAGTGAGCATGGAGTTTTCACGCTATGAAGATGCGTTAGCGCCTGGCCGTTGTTGTTATATTCGCGCAACAGTAGCTCACGTAGAGAGAAGCCAGGCCTTTGCGGTCGGTGTCGAAGGTGTTGTAGTAGAATTCAATAAATTGCTCTACACCAAAAGGTCAGATCCGAAGGGGGATTAATCGGAAGCGCGCCACAAAAGCATGCTATTATCCCACATACTAGCAATGTCTTCGAAGTCTAGCGTTGAGTGGTTAGCCAACATGTTGGTTTGCTTCCCTGTTTTTTTCCCCTCTCACGACACAAGGGCAAAGGGAAAGGCTTACTGGTGGCCATTTTGAAGGATGGTCGGGCCAAATGAGCCGCTACCAGAGACTAAGTGACAAAGACGAGAAGCTAGAAAGAAACCAGAGAGGCTAAGAAAATCAGATTGTTGGGTTGATCGCAAGATGTGTCCAAGGCGAGAATCAACAACACCAGTATCGGGTGGTAGTGGGGGTTGAGGGGCACAGTGCAGATTTGCTCATTTGACTTATTAAGCGCGGGGCGTCTTGCAGGCTGACGCGCTGTTGTGCTGCAGCCAGCCCAGCGCCTTGCTTTCACAATATGACCCGACAAACACATGAATGGCGGGACAGCTCGCTTAAAGGGGCCGTGCATTTATCCGAGCATGCTTGTTTCCTGCCCCATTGAAAAATTGCAGCTTCGTCTGTCCTCCATAAATTTGTTGACTTTTCTCCTTCTTCTTCAATGAAGCACAACAGTTCCAGGAAAACGCCTTCAACATGTGAACAATGAGTTCTAATTGGCATGTTCAGGCGCTACGCACCGCTTAAATGGTATCCAAACCGCTTCATCCCGTGGTAAGCATGCTCCAGTCTTTGCATTTTATTTTGCTGCACCTTGCTCCCTTGACCCATTGCTGGCAGCCTCTGCCTTGTATGATGACACATTCTTCTTAAGAACGGCCAACTGAATTTTCATGTTGATTTTCAATTTATCAAGCTCAACAGTCTGACTTGAAATAATCTCATCTATTAATTTCCGCAAACTTTGCCTAAGCCTCCTTGCTAATTAGAGACAATTGATAGGACCACCGCTTTTATTTGCTTCGAGACTCCTCGTCAGACACTCTGTTCAAGATTGTGAAGCCTTGATGCATGCTGCCCATCCGGCTCGCCCACGCAATCTGTAGCGCAGCGACTTTGCCGTCCATGCCACGCTTGAATTGGGCCGGATGGCACTGGCTGAACAGAATAGGATTCAACGGCACAGTAACCACCACGGCCCAGTAGTCTCTAGAAGCGTGGTGTAAAACACCAACTCGGGTTGATAGGCCACAAGAATCTTGTCAAGCTTGTCAAGATGAGCTTCGTCGCGGAATGTAAATGTGCCGCAGCCCGTCTCATTGTAGGATCCCCCAGGTTCGCTGATCTTGAAGGACGGAGGGACCATAATGTCCGGGCGATTACGATAAACCTTATTCACGAGGTCCTTGATGTCGCCGCTGATAGCCTTGATTTTGTCTTCCCATGTGTGTCCTTCGAGCAAGTATTCCTAGCCCTGACCGCCCAAACGTAAAACGTACACCTTGTCAAAGTCGAACTGATAATTCTCTGAAATACCAACTTTCTCCTCCATCAAGTGATAAACAACAGTAGCCCCGACCACATTCGACGTCAACGCCGTATTCCAAACGCAACAACACCAACAAACTTGGCATCAGGCGGATAAGCTTGCAGTCCGTAGGCATGCATCCCGTTACTATGCGTAAACACGGACGGCCCTTATACAGCCTCCGCTGCCAACCCAGAGAATAAAAAAGAAATATCGAGGCCGCCCCTAGGAGCCGTAAACCTAGGTAGATTAGGTTTCTTGATATCCTCGTGGACATCCTTGGGCTCTGGGATCGGAGAGACTTTGGGCGCTCAGTGTTGCATCCCTTCAGGTGACTCAATGAAGCCCAGCGCGGCGCCACTTGCCCATTTCAGTCATGAGCTCAGCTTCTTGGCCCACCAAGACACATCCCAATGCTTCGAGTTCAACAATCCAGTCCCAGGTTGGCAAATTCGACACTCGATGGTGAACTCCTCTTCCGCATCGTATTGCTCCGAAAACCACTTGGTTGTGTCTCTAGATTAGGGGCGCTCTCGCAATCACCATGGTACGACCGTTTGTTTCTCTTGGCTGTCCTGATCTTCGGCGCGTCATGATGCTAAAGTAACACCTTCTTAGGAAACCCTTGAAGAGACTGCGCGAGTGATTACCTCGAAACCGGCACAGAGGGCTGCCGTGAATGTAGCGCTTCTGGTTTCGAGTGCAGTGACATTGTTTGGTCTGGCGTCACTTGCAACAGCACTCTTCTTCCAGAACTTTGTGCCCGATCAGTTTATTACAACGCCACTGTATCTCCAATACCAGTATGTCGCGCCCATTTGTCGAGGGGACGGTTGAAAATGCACCGACTGGGGCTGATATAATGGCCGTCACAGATCAGGAACAAATCCGTACGGAGTCGCGCCACTTATATATCCTTCCCCGAAGCTACAGCAAGACTATGATATTTCGCTAAGCTTGTCCATGCCACGATCGCCCCCGAATACCGAACGAGGAAACTTCATGGTGTCCCTGTATCTGGTCAAAGATTCCGTCAACGACTACAAATCTGACTCGAACGGACGAAAGGCTCTCGATGACCGACACTACCTCGAGGCCAAAAAAGTGCTCTTCAAGGCCCGCCGATCCGCATTGATGCCGTACGAAGATCCTATTCTTTCGGTGGCCAAGCGTGTTCTCTTCATGGGCTATTATCTTCTCTTGCCGCGTTCACAGGCTCGTAGTCTTACAGTTGAGCTTGCTGAGCGAGTTAGCTTTGACAAAAGCGCGCTGCAGCCAACAGCCGCGTTTATCGAGATTGAAGCCGGACAGGATATACAAATTTACAGCGCCTCGCTGACCCTGACGGCACAACTACGGGGACTACGATGGTTGATGTTTCATTATCGGTTGATCACATACATGACATTCACATTCTTGTTTTGGGTTTGCGAGGTTCTTTTCATGTGTTTGGCTTGGGCTATATGGAGCGCAACCACGACACCCCAAGATGGGAGAAACAAGGGCATCACCTTCCGAGATGGCGAGGGGGATGACATAGACGACGAGCATGATGACCATCCTGACCGCACTGCGGGCCCTGTTGCTCATGCTAGATACGCAAGAATAAAGAGAGAGCCTGAAATCAAAAAGGAGGAGGAAGATGAAGAGCCGCAAAGATTGATATATAATATACCAATGGGCGAGGCGGAAGCGGATGATGAAGATGGCTTTGACGATGGGAATATTGTCGATGGAAGTGGAAATAGGAGCGATTCGGGAATTGGGACGAGTTACAAAGAGGAAGGCAGTGAGAGCCTTCGACGACGAGCTTCTCGAGATATGTTGGAGTGATTGATGGCACGTCTACTTTGATATGGTTTAGAAAGTTTGTATGATACCCTTAGCTTTCTGTTTTAAAGTAGTTTCAGCCCTAGTGATAGTCTGTATGTGGGCTTTCTTTCGTTTTCTTTTATGCGTTCATGTTCACAGGGTGTGAACCACGAGTTGAGTTTAACTCTTGTCTTGTTTTTCGATGCAGGATTGTGCTTTGTTCCTTTCGTTTCTCTCTTTTTCAATTCTTCTTTGAAAGCTAGGGCCAGACACAGAGACCATTACGAGCTGGTTCCTGTGAAGCCCAACGTTCCCAGTGCAGCCAATCACAAGCTTGATACGGGGTCACCAAACAGACGGGCCTCGGAGCCGGTCAAAGCAAGCAAATAGCCAGCGGATCGAGCCGCACTGCCGGATCAATGGGATGGTGGTCCGTCGAGTTCTGAGACTTGCGTTGGAGGGGCTTGGAGCGGGATTGGGCCAGACACCAGACCTGCAGTGCCAGTCCCACTGCGCTTGGGCAATTCGTTGCAAGTATTCGACCAGATCAGTACCTGGCATCACGTTCGATACCATGATATACCAGAGTACATTCGTGTACAAGCTACAAGACTTTTTGATGGGCTACACATAATATTCTGCCAGAGACTGTAGGTCCAAGTACACACCGTTAGGTACTTAAGTACTTAAGTACCTGCGAAGCTAGCCGCTCACCAGAAGCCTTCCGGAGCAGGACCTGACCCTCAGAACCTCCGAGCACCATTCATCAGTGAGGAGAACTTGACAAGTTGTTGAGCCCAATCGACCCACGGGCAAGGGTCAACGAGGGCCGTCCCCTGGGGGCAGTTCAGTGCCCAGTGCCGCCGGCTCAACTGGTCCGCTCTTGGAGGGGCAGCTCCCAGTGCCGGCTTCAATGTTCATAGCTGCCTGGCGTGTGCAGTCTGGTGCTCCGTTGCTCCAACATTGAATTTGACATTATGCTCCAGTGCTTCATTGCTCCTCTGAGCGCCCAACGCTGTCCACCGCCCAACTGTCAGGTCGAGGCCACAGTGCCCCCGGCGAGCCCTGAAGCCGTCACCCACCAATTTGCATCGTTCAATGTTTGTTAACTGTTCTTGCTCTGTGTGTGTGTGTGTGCGCGTGCGTGCGTGTGACTGTGACCTTTGATTGGGACTGTGGCTGCAACTCGTTCCTGCTCCAGTCGGGTCGGCAACCTTGGCTGCTCCAAATATTTAAACATCTGCCCCAAAATCCATGTCGTTGCGTCCGACGGTTTTACGGTGCAGCAGCCTCGTCTTGCATGGTTTACCACTCCACGTCGTCCTCTTTCTCGACTAAACGACAACGCCAAACGGCCGCTGCACGTCCCGCCTCCTGCTCATTTTTCGGGTTGTGTGCTGTATTGGGGATGGCTGCACGCTGAACGTCACCACTCGGTCATCTTCACAGAGCTCCAATTCTCATCCTAAACTACTCCGAGCTCTACCGCCTCACACCGTCTCCTCTCCGTGAGGCGAGCCGTATCGCGCAAAAACGACGCCCAACGACCCATCCGCCGGCCCGTACCGGTCTCTTGCCATCTGAAGCATCTGGGCGAGACGCGTTGACACTCCCCGCAGTCGGTCATCTCCCACCACCATGCCCTGCTTCAAGGGCATTGCGGTGAGCATTCACGCAAATGGCGCCCCGCTTCCTGAATACGGCATGCAGAAGCAGTCGAGAGTTTCCCGCATCAGTACCTATATCCCCGTGCCTCAGCCGAACCTTACGGCAGATTCGAACAAGCCCGAGCCCGCCAAGTTTGCCATCTCCATCACCCTGCTGACTGCTGGCCTCGCGATTCCGTACTCGGCCCCCAAGCCTACTGACAGCAATCCGTATCCCAAGCCTCAGTATGTGGGCAGCCT